CAAATCAGTTGTTTTGAACACAGACACTGCCATAAGTATCCAACTTATGCACAACACTTACATATCATTCAAGATGTACCTCTACTGTAAGTACTTCAAACACAAGGTATTTTTAGAATCAAAACCTATTGAACCATTGTTATTCAGACAGTGTTAAACTTCACCACATCAACAACAATAAGAAGCTGGCCAATAAAGGGTTTCCCAAGGAAGAATCGAGAAAAATTAAATACAATTATTTTAAAACTTTTCTTTACATTCATTTGAAGACAATCCGTTAATAATCAATCTGTCTAATCATCAAAAGAGATTGAAGCTGGAGATCAAAGTATACTGGTAGACTGAGACAAAACTGAAAATACAAAACAAATGCAAAATCTAGACTTAATTTTAAATCTAGAGATAATTTCCTTAATCATTATTTATTCAACCTGCGTTAGAGTTGATTACTGCTTGAACATCATGCAAAGACAGCTAAAATACACCAAAAAATTTTCTCTGTTGAATGAATATGCAATAGTCATGTAAAAGTCCCACTTATTTTGTACTTAAATAGTGCAAAATCATCCAGAAATAGGGGTATTAAAATTAACAGTATCTTCCTACTAATGAAAAAACTAATATATCTAAATTTCTTGCTCTCTACAAAAATAAGGAATGCTTCTCAGTGCTGCATAGAGCAGCATGGGAGAAAAATCATACTCCGTAGTCAGTATATGACTATTTTTGACCCAGGGAAATTGACTGTAGGAAAGCCTGATTCAAAAGCACCTGGTCACTGTAAAAGCCTGAAATTGTTCTTTACTAACAGTACTCTGGCATCAAAATATTTCTTTGTTCTAAATCTTAGTGTATTTCAAAACAAACCAAAGCTGTACACAAATACCTTCAATGTTACTTTATCTATTGTGGAAATTAAATAAATTATTTTAAGAAGTCATATTATTAAAAGTTTAAAATGTACAGCACATTTGCTTTGCCCTTTGATGTCAGAGTCCTATTTTTCTATTCAAATCTTGTACACTGTAAGTTAATTGCTTTTGGAAACTACTTATTATTCATGTAAAAATTAATGTGCCAATGTGTTTAAATCCTTTTAAATGACCATTCATGCATCTTTCTTCTTTAAGTACCAATGAAATCTGTCAAAGATATCAATGCAAGATGGTCTTAGGGAAAGTTCTAATAAAGATTTTTTCTGCTAACATAAGATTTTCATTTTCGTCAACTTTACTTAAATTCCATTAATTTTTTAAGCTGCTTTTAATAAATTCACAAGTAAAAAATTTTAGGCTCCATAGTCTGTCATTTGTGTTCCAGCTGACTTTATGAATATTAATAACAGTGTTATCCTGATTAAATAGGCTTCATATAAAATCCCTGTGAATCCTATAGCTCAGACATCTCATTTTTCCAACTCTTTATGAATTAAGATTCAGACATTAAACTGGAAAAAACCTTAAAAAACAGATTCAATGGTACATTCGCATACCCTTAAGCAAAAAATTAGATGTTCTAATGATTCAAATAATTAAAACTGATAGGACCACATATTGAGATTTCAGGCTTTGTGTAAACATGCAACATATTTTAACTCTAATGAAAACGTCAACACTTCACAGAATAAAGGATTAAGAATCTATTATAAAATAATAATAATAATAATGTCTGTCCTTATCCTTACCTTAAACAACAGATGATATGATCTTAACTCTTCATATATGGAGTGCTGATTTGCAGAAGTATTTCCCAAAGAAATTAGTGGATGCTTAATTACATAAGCATACACATGAAATACATGAACATTCTAGTTTAGCATGGGTGCCCAGAGAAAATCAACATTATCTTTTAATTGGTTTATACTTCAGCAAAACCAGCCTTTTTCAAAAGAATGTCAAATCGAAGCACACAGGTAATTTTAACATTATCCCACAAGACTCATGCAGTCAGTTTTAAACTGTAAACTTATTTCCATGCTTACATGTTTGAATTATTTACATCTACAACAGGTGAAAATGGTAAACTAAGCTCACTGCACTGCCTTTGTGGTTTTGGTTTGGTTTTTTTTTTTAAGATAGTGTTATCTAAAATTACTTCCACATTCATTGAGGGATGTATTCTGCAAAGGTGACCATCGAAATATTTTGTCTTCCAGTACCTCGAAATAGGAATGGATTTTTTGGGAGATAAAAAAACTATACAAAAAACCCAGCTTATTCAAAAAGATGGCATTCCAGTCCCAAGTCTAATTATTCGTCAACACTTAATAGAAATTAAATAAAAACAAAGGCATATAAGAATAACACACATATGCAAGGTAGGAAGCATACAGTGCTTCACTTGTGCTGTTCTGAATAGCGTTTACTACAGCTGTGGCAACATTTCCACTTTCAGAGGAAAAAATTCTTCGAAATGTCTGCAGAATACATATTATACAAGCCAGCACCCCACGACTCCAACTTTCAACCACCTGAACAGTGACGCTGACCCAAGGTTTTTCGATTAGTGACCGTCTGCTGTAGCTGCCAACACTTTCCCTCCTTAGGCAGGGGATCAGAAAGTCCATCTTTTAAGCTGCAGTTCAGTTACTGACTGACCCTCCCTGGCAAACGAAAAATTGCTGAGACCCTTCCATACAGAGCCCCGATGACTGCAACTCCCTGTTTCTTGGTCTTGCCTTGACAGGTTTGAAGACAACTACTGAATCATGGCCTCAGCCGCTGTGACAGGAAGCAAATGCTTGCTGGTGTTGACTGTATTCACCTCTTCTTCCCAAAACGTCCTCAGGTCTTGGGAGAGTTTTTCCCCAAGGACAGCTACCCAGCCTACCCTGCTTCTGGTGAAACAAGAGACCAGTTCCAACCACCCCTTGGAACGTCACCAAGCCAGTCTTTGTCCCGCTTAATGATGAAGTTGACAATTGCCATTGAAACTGCAGGGATGAAGGGAAGGAAGGAAACACCATATACGTTATGGACAGGGAAATAAAGAATGAATTTTAGTATTATTTTCATAAGATTGATTAGAATACCAGGATCTCCTAAAATATCCTGAAACGTTTTGTCTTGGAGCAAGCTAAACCAAAAACTTAATTTAGGAGGGTATACTACATAACAACCAGTTACCTTCTAGAAGCATTCCCCTAGGGAACAGTTTTCCTAGCCCCAGTGCATGCCAAGTTTTGATGCAATGATACGCTCCTCCACAGAATCACATTTCCTCTCTACTTCAAGAAACTTTATGGCAAAGCAAGAAATTAAGGTAACCCAAAATAAATTAAAATTAGCTTTGGGCAGTTATAAAAATACTAGTGAAAGAATAACTGAAATAACGATTTTATTATTCTAAAGGACTGCAATAAAACAAACCACCAGAACTAGCATTCCTACAATACATTAAATTCTGGGTTGCTTTTACAGGGTAAAACAGTAGAACAAGGGAGAAAAAAAAAAATTCAAACCAACAAACTAGCACTAAGGCACAAGCAAAGACAACCCATGTGGCAGACAGGCAGAAGGTCAACAGGGAGGAAACGACGCAACAGCATCAGCATAACATTTTGAGCACTGCTTGTCTTGAGCACGCTGATTTTTCCAGTTTGCTACATGATGGGATCATGTGACATTAGAATCAGAATCATAGAACAGTTTGGGTTGGAAGGGACCTTAAAGATCATCTACTTCCAACCCCGCTGCCATGGACAAGGACTCCTTTCACTAGAAGGTGTCCAAATTGGTCCATTAGGCCAAATGTCAAATTTTGGTTTACACACCATTCTTCAGTAAGCCAAAACTGGACCACTGATACAGAGATCTCACCTGCCTTTCTGAAAGCATTTGCCTCAAGCTCCACAAAATCCCTCCCCCTCCCAAATAGAAGAAAAAGGCACTGTGACTGAAGAGCTCCAAAGCTAACTATGGAAATGATCCAAGAACCATTTGAGTCTACAATGCTTATGTTTGCAAAATTCATTGTATCATATATTCAATGTCTTGACATTCCCAGATCCCCAAATCATAATTTCTTTTAGCACAGAAATAAGTTCCTAGACTAAATTTTACCATAAAAGCAAAAATAGTCCCAGAACATTGTATGCCCATAAAAATAGGAAGCAGTAACTAGATGCAAGATTCATAAACCACTAGTATGTAATAGCATTAAGGATAAAATATATTTCTCCTGCCAAAAGCATTCCAATTCAATTGTTCAGCTACCTTCACAGAAAGAAAGAAGATTGAACAGAGACTTAGAGAAGAAAAGGTGGCAACAAACCACACTGAGGCAGAGAAACTCAGTTTATCCAGCCAAATCACATTTCTCAATGTACCTTCAAATAGCACCATTTTTCCTGACAATAAACCAACTAAAAATAAAAAGCATAAAGGCTGCAAACAGTGTGGATATTGGAGCCCAACCAAGAATTATCATGAGCACTGAACATGCAGAGGCCTGTCAGAAACGTGCCAACTTTTCAATACCCGTCTTCTGCATGAGGACTGAGAGGGGCCCGTCTGTCTCACAGGGAAATACAGTCACACTGGTTACATATCTTGCAGATTGTTTTGAACAGCATGACAACACAAATATACCTCCACTGCTGTCGTAGACCAACATACCCAGTGCATTGGTTCCACCCCAAATTATTTATCCACTCAAATTCAACAGTGTACACCTTCAGCGGCTTGTTCTTAAGAAGAGAACTGAGTGGCCATTTTCTTAGATGACTATCTGAAGAGAAATTTCTTCCCTGAAATTTATTGCAATATCAAAGAAACCTGAAGGCCAGTACAATTTAAAATAGCAAGCTACACACCCAGAAATTGTCTTGGAGGATCAGAGAAGAATCAGATATTCTGAGGTGGGCCAGAACTCAATGAAAACAGGAGGAAAGTCAGAGAAATTAAGTCTGTCTGGAATTTAAATGGAAGCTAAAAATCAAAGAGCCTAAACCTGAAAATCTTCAGCACCATGGAGTTGTTGCACTGCTTCCTGTTCTTACACCAAAAAAAAAGGTACAAGATTACAGGGGAGTCACCACTGATTCAGAATCAGTGCCAGGCAGCTGGGAAGAGAAACTACAAAAAAAACCAACAGCAACAACAAAAGAGCCATTAACTAAAGTTTAAGAAGTTTAGATCATCAGTCACATTATCACAGACATTTCTGACAGTGGATCAATCCCCCGGCCAAGTTTTAATAAAGCAATGCAAAACATGACCACATACCAGCTTCCCAATCAAACTACTGCAATATTTTTGTTGACATCATGGAAAACAGTATGTTTCTCCTTTAACCTTAATTTGTAAAATATCCAAAGCCTTCTCTCAGTTGAAACTTACCAAAAAAGAGAGTCATCTTCAAGCAGGAAGGAAATGCCTACTGTGAAAAAAGCACCAAAACCCAAACAAACCCAAATAAAACGTTCAAGTTACAAACAATGGAAAACTCAAAGAAAAAAGGCCTCCCAAGGACAGGTGCAGGACTATTTAAGCAAAGGCAGAACTGCCATAATGAAAGTTGTCTTTTCTGTTTTTGTTCAACCAACGAAATAGCCTAGCTTTTTTTTTTTTTTTTTAATATGCATTTGAATAAATAGATCATTCTCATACCTCAATGTTGTCACCATTTATAATGGCATACAACGCATGGAATAAAGAAGCTGGACACCCACTTTTTAAAAAAAAAAATTTCTTTACTGGGTTTTGAAGAAAGGTCATTTTAAACCCTTAGAAAGCACATTATTCAGCCAAACTCATGAAAATAATTTACAGTGAAGAAGCCTTAAGGAATCCCTCTGAGAACATAAACTACAAAGAGGTTCACATAAGTTGAGGGTTACACAACTGACAAAAAAAGTTCTTATTAGGGGTTCTGAGCCTTAAAATCAGATTCTTCCCACACAGACAAATGGGAAAAAAAAAAAAAAAGGAAAAATTCAAGACCTAGGATTATCTAGCCAGTTTCAGCAAGATTATTCTCTTCATTTTTTTGTAAAAAGAAACTGATGCAAGTTCCCTTCTTTCTCGCAACCTCATCATAAATTCAGGTATGTTGCATTCATTATTCCTTGATTCATCAAGCTACATTAAAGTTTTCATTGCCAAAACACTTGACATCAGAAGTGAAGAGAAACCATGTGAGGTTGCAGAATGCTGAGACAGCAGCTGAATCTTGGCCCCACACCAGTTATTCCTGGGCGGAGCAAGGGAGTTCTAAATCCGCTTACTAGACGAAGGAGGAAAAATATTTCCCTAGCAATTCCGAAACCCACGCTTGTTTTAGTGACTGCTTTCTCTTGCATATAATCATACTGAACAGTTTGAGGCTTATTTGTCAGATGTTCTGGGCATTATAAATTGCACTGCTTGGCATCACTAAAAAATATAAATTTAAAAAAAAATCAAAACTTTATAGAAGTATAGATAAAACACAAGATTAAAAAAGGGAAAATCTGGCCAACATTTCAAATACTCAGAACAACTCTGAAGACATTCTTGGACATTGCAATGCTGCAAGACTTGTATATTCCTGAGTTTTACTTTCCCCTTAATGTTGAAGGGGCACCTAACAGAGTTAGGTATGTGCACTAGGACAGCTTCTGTGCCTAATCATAACACTAAAAAATCCTCTGAAATAGCTTCCTATTTCACAGTCAAACTGAGAGAAAGAAAAGGGAGAAAGTCTTCTGAAATATTCCTTAGAACACATTATGAATGAAGGCAACCTTGTTTAAGGGTTGTGCTTTCATGACTCTCTGCTATCAAGGACAAATCTTAACATGTTCAGACTTTATAGCAAAACAAAAAAAAAGCACAATTTTTCTAATAAAGTTATGCCACTTTCACACTGCTTTCAAAGCTGTCTTCAATATTCTTCTTTCAATTTCTTCAAGACTTTAAAGCAACAACATCTAAACAATTATTTCAGTTTGTAAAAACTTATGCCAGTAAGTCACAACCCTCTTGGGTTTTCTTCTTGCCTAAAGGAAATATTTCACTGTACCCAATTCTTCAGCTGGATTGTGCATTTGCTGAGCAGACTGGTTTGGGAAAAGAGGTATGATAGAAAGGTTGTAGTTTCTGCCATAACTTAGCTTATTAAAATATGTTGTCCCTGTCTGGAAAGAGTTAAGTAAGTTTAATTTACTCATCACTGAGCTTTGCTGAGGTATAAGGTTATTTTCATTTTTATTGAAGATACTAAAAGAAAAAATAGCTTACAATATGGAAAAATTAGTTTAATACTTGAAAGGTTTTCCACAGTGCTTTCAGGACAGGTTGAAAAAACACACGTAGTGTCAGACATCCATTAATAGATACCTCCCTAAAAACCTGTTTCTCAAGACATTTGAGAAGTCTAGAGACCCTACCAATAGCAAATTCATGCTCCAATCACCTTTTTTTTCTTTTAATCTGATGAGATAGAGTTTTGTTTCAAAACATTTGGGATAATATTAGATAACTTTTAGGAACTGCTTTATAACTGAGTTTAATAGTAGTCTGAATTAATTTTTACAGCAACTGGAACAAAATTTTGCTCTTATTTACAGTGTCATATTTCTGTATTAGTGAACAGTGACACTTGTACATAGAACTGTATTACACAGGATTATGGTTAAAAAGAAGATCTGTTCCCGGATTACATGTGGTATTCTTAAGAACTGCAGATGTACAGACAATTCTTAATTTCCCTCATCTCTCTAACAGACTGAATGGCTGATTATTGGGAAGAAAGTGTAATATGTAATATCAAATGGGTTCTCAATAAAGCATCTGATTTGATTTTTTAAATTTTCTTTGCTAACTTTGGGAGTGTGCATTGCACCAAGTAGAAACAAGCTACTGGGCAGATGCAACTGGAGGGGAACCCCAGTAAGATAACAGCATATGTTATTTTTAGTAAGTTTTCTCTCATAAGTGCAAGACAGTGGAT